CATGCAGGTGCAAAACGGGTCAAGCGAATCCAGGTGGATTTGTGATGATGACCTTGAGAAAAACACGAATTAGTGCATCAGACAACGGGCAATTGACCCAAAGGAAGCCCTAGAGTGAAACAAATTCAGGCTGAGAATTCTTCGAGTAAGCTTTAATTAATTGACGCTCTCTTTCAAAGAGGCCGCGGCAAAACACTCGCCTTCTAACTGAATTCAAGTTTGTCGTGACTTCAACTGCAAGCGGCGATGCCTCATTTGCGAATCCCACTCACACGTCATGGGGATTGCGTTAAATGGACAAGCCTGTGGACGCACATAGTCACCAGCATCGACACACCGGCATTTCACTAATAGACTGTGGCCTACGTTGCAGACACTCATTCAATCCTATCGTTCCAGACACACTGAATTCTTTGCATTCATTGCTTTTAACGATTATTTTGGGAATACACGGGGACAAAAAAACAGGGTTAGACTAGGTGTTATAAACGTTGGCACTTGGCAGGAATCAGATGATCAAAACGAGTCGTGATGGCGTGCCAGGTCTACGTCAAAATCACCCCAACGCGACATGGGCGTTCATTCGGCGATGTGGGTGGCGTGAGTATCAAGAATGAGGCATATGAGAGAAGGATACTTCTTAAAAGTTGGTGACTGTTTCCAAGGAAGCTGTGCTCCACTTCCTGTAGACTAAAACAACTCCAGCTGCTAAGTATAGACTGGCAAGTCGCGCACCCAGAAGGTTCGGCGGCGTGGCTCAATTTAAGAGCCCCTGATCCCACCAACAGCTAGGCAAAAATGACAAGAAAGTGGTGAGGAGGAATAAGCAGACAAGACCGTTCGAATGCACCACATCAGTTTACCGCAGACACAAGGTAACCAGGGGACGAGGTGGCGGCATGGTGGAACTTGTCGGAACACGAATCACTGTGGTTCACTGTGCCGAGCGTCTTGATTCATTTTAAGAGGATTGCGAGGATAGGCTAAGGTGTTACGAGGATGAGAAGGAGTTGTCAAAATAACCAGTAGCTGGAGAGTTCACATGCACATTGCCAAGTTTCGTCACAAGAGCGTTCGCCCCATTCGAACTTGTGACAGTTTGCACGGATATTATCAAGACACAGGCGATGTCTTTGCTTTGAGTGGCTGTGGTTGTAGAAATTTTTGCAGAGCGCCTTGCTTTTAACCTAAACAAAACACTGATATCCTGCAATGCCACAATGAATGTTATCAAAGCGAACCTTCAACACGATTAACCTTAGAGGTGGGTTTCATATGCAAGAAATTAACTAAGGCGTCGCATACATTTGAAGAGCTTGATAATAGAGCAAAATGGACAACTGACGAAGTCTGACATAAGGCAATAAATGAAAAAGTATGAGCACACGGAAACGTTTAAGCGGCTTTACTATTAAAAAGGTCTGAATCCACACTCGCAGCCCAATTCAAATGGCCTTTATCGAAAATTTGGCTTTGTCGAGACCAGGAAAGGGAAAATGGGCTGCCTGAATGACAATGGCATTTAATCGATTATTGAATAAATATTTGCGCAGAATGTCTGGACAGGATTGCGCTAAATTTTCAAAGTTGATTCGAGGTTGTCCTGTTATCAAATAAGTAAAAAGAGATCAGAGACGGTGGGTGATTTTAAGCGGCCATGACGAATCTGCAGGTAAGCTTTTTCTGCCAAGGAGAAATGACAATTTGGATAATCGACAGAGTATTCTCAAGCAGCAAAAATGTAAATTCAATCAATACGTAGAGTTTATGGGCGAATTAGACTAGTGGGGCATCGCGTCTATTCACGTCAACCTGCTTTGTCGCTGGGTTCCCCAACTCACTGCCAGCTCTTTACAGCTAGCCCGTCAGACATACATGCGATTACACATCTTGTTAAGCCAGGTTTTAAAGGGTGGCGTCTTGGCCCCGCTGCCTTCTTCTTCTTCATCAATAGTTCCAGGGTACCGTAGTCCAATTGGACCCAACGCAGTGGCCACGAAGTGGTTTAAGTCAACATGTCAACTCCCTCACAGACTAAAAAAATATCCTGTAAGTTTCCCCTTTAAAGCTAAATGCCCACGACAAGCGACTGGTAATATCAATCAATCGGAATTTTCTGCATTATGTACACATACTTTATTTAGGCATACGCAAACGCGATTACGGCAAAAATACTGCAGGTAAGGAGATGTGCAAAACAGCTTCAACATTCAACCTGACAACTTGGCCACTCTCATGTCAGAATCGCAAGCAGCCATGTTTACAAAATTTTGACATCCGAGCACGGGCAAATTTGGGGTGGTGACCTTGAGAATGAGTGGACGGGCCAAAGGTAATGCGCGGGTAAGTGTCACAAAATCGATTTAACCTCATCCAAATGATTCGGACTAATATATCAGACAATGGGTAATTGTCAGACTGGACACCCCAGAGAAAGCCTTCAGTGAGAATGATCACAAGTGAGGCAAAGTTAATCGGAGGCTAGGCCGAATTGCATACAATTTCTCCTCTAGTTCAAGGTACCACGGAAAAACACCCGTCTTCTCACTACTCCCTCTTTCACCATGATTTTGTGGCAAGCAGCGATGCCTCATCTACAAGACCCGCTAAAAAGTCACGTGGTAAAATTAAAAAAACTACATTTCATCGAGATTTCGTTAGCTGCTGCTTAAACTTATCCTAACCCTGGTTAAATACGCCGTAATTAACAAAATGTGCGTCATTTTGTAATTTCTGGCAAACACATCCAAACTCTAAGATGAATTCGAAAACTGTGAACAGCAGGAAATTACTTTTCTTGATAGCTATGAGTCAGCTAAGGACAGAAGCACTTAGCGTAAACACTTCCACCCAAACAGACTCCAAGCTAATTTAGACAAAACAGCGCATTAAAATCAAAATTGGTTGTCACATTCGCCACCATCTAACAGGCCTAAATAAAATTTACCGTCAGTTTTGATTGTGGGCAGTAAGTTGTTCATCTTGATCTTTTATTTGTCATTTAACGAAGCCTGACTTGATGCTTGGACAACCTCGGTTTCAAGTAAGGGTGCCTACTTCATTTTTGCTCCAAATTGATGCTAAAGGGAAAGAATCTTATCTTATATAATCAATTTTCAGGTAGAAAAGGCAAAAACTGCATTTCAATTTTCAATACAACAAAGCTTGAAGTGTTTATATCGAAAACTACTATCCAACCGAAGATTGGCTAGTATGGTGGTCTCAGAATGACGTTCACTGTTGATTTTTCTGCGATAACAATTACGGAGACAGTTAAGAGGACATATAAAAATACATGTACGTGATTGTTGACTTTTAATAAAAATTTTAAACCGTTAACGGGCTTTATATATATATATATAAGTACGAATTTCTTGGAGGTTGAGTTAAATCGACTGATTGTCTAAGAAAACTGCACATCATTTCATTTAGAATACGGTTTATTGTGTCTTTTTTAGACTAGATACATTACTTGCGATGGCTTAATTGGCTTTTGTAACAATAATGAGAAAAACGAAATTTAGTTTGTTATATCGTATCAAATGATAAATACCTTACCCTTGACCCATGAAGATTAATGGCCAAATTGTTTCTTCTGTTTCTTCGTTGTGCAAGTTAGATGGCTCGTGATGTCTTAGATATCTCGAGGTATGTTGGAGTCTCTCATTCACAAAGAGCAATAGATCGGCTCACAGGTTTTGAAACACGGTTTAGTAATGTTCTTCAAACAGTAAGTGGCTTCAATTGAAGTTTTCTTTACGTGAAATCTCTGTTGTTACTAATTAGGTAATGTGCAGTTTCTGATGCGCCGTCTTCTGAATCCCCTTAAATTTATGATTTTAATTTTTGAACCTAGAACTGTGGGGCTATAGCTAGCTGTTCGTTGTATGGAATTCTGCTTTATCCGATAGCGGCTATATCTAAGTTACAGTGTAAAAAAATTTCCATTAGCTTTAGTCATACAAATGTGCCATGGTCCTGTATCCTCACATGCGTCAGTTGTGCTAACAGCCCACCGTTGGAGAGGGCATTGTGTCATCACACTCTTTGGAAACTTAATTTGCTTCACAGGTATTAGTCGAATCTATCAAAACTATTTGATCGAAATTATCAAAATGCTCTTTATTACTCACTGGTCTGTCACAGTACTTCGACCATTTTCAAGGTCATTGCGTTAGCCATTTTATTTCCACAAATTCTAGCATTAATTTGGTGGCCATACATTTAACCTAATAGTTCAATCACATAACGTGTTATTTCTCATTGCGGTGGGACAGAAAATGACAATTAACCTGGGTTTTAACACAGCAATTTACCACGCTGTATGATTTTGTTGGGTGGTTGACATCCAATCCACCGATATGTGAGGTTGTGCATATATTTGATCCTAATGCAGTTAATGGCTTATATGCTATTTTAAAAGCCCAACTTGAAAATACTTGGTAAAATCTTAAACAATCTCAAGCCTTTTAGAAATACGATTAACGATTTAAAGATCAGACCACCGTAATAGTAAATAAACCGGAAGAAAGTGCGCAGTTGAGAGTAAATATTGTGAGTAGGATGGGTTGCCTTTCGTTGACATTCTACGTTTGCGGAATCGCAGTAAATCTCAGATCATATGTCTTGAGTTTAATTTTCGAAACTAGATGTAAAGGTAGAACGTTCGGGTCATCTTGATTTCATTCCTTAGCGATTTCATATCTTGCTTGGTCCTTTTTTCTATGGTGCATGCTGTAATGGGCGTAATGAATTATTTTGCATTTAAAAACCTAATGTCATTGTGTGCATATTTTATGAAACGCCAGTCGTTTTGGTCAAAAAATTTTGCACTTATAACTCCCTCTGCAGTGGCTTATGTCGTCGTGTTTCTGCTCAAACTAGAGTTTTTTTTAATCGCAGCTCCGCTGACTTCAGCAAATGTGTATATTGTAATTAGACACCTGAATGTCCGCTGTTGTTTTGGCTTCGTGCAACGATTTTTTCCCTAACTTTCCAAGGGCCGTCTACCCGAAAATGGATTTTCCGAGGCTGAAATTGAGGCCATCCTTCACAAGCTCGCCTTAATGGATTCTAATAATTGGTCCAACTCCACGGGTGTCGGTGAACGCGAGGGTCGCATCCTACTCGATATTGTCAGGCGACGTCATTTTGGGTAACCCGCCTTTTTTACCCATTTACTTACAAGGCTTGTTATGCGTTTGGTTGCAGTAACTGAAATTTGCTCTTTTTCCGTTTGTACCTATTAAAAAGTGCGTTTCAGGATTGGTCTGTCCCACATTTTTTGTCGGAACAATGTCGTAATGCTACAGCATTTTTCTCGAAGCCTTCTCTGAAAGTTTTGCAACAGTTTTGCATTCACAGCTGTTGTAGCAGTTTCGGTACACTTAATCACTTCCTACTTAGCCACGTAATGTGAGCGCAAAGTCGTGCCTGGATGTGTACAGTGCTGGGTGCTGAACCAGATCATTAACGAATGCCCACCAATTATTTGCCAAAAAGGGACACACCATCTGATGCCGTAAGCAGTTTCCCAACACTTCCGACAATTCGCTTAGTGTCTGCATTGAAGCAGACTAATCCAGTAGTCAGAGCTAATCATAAGGCTTCCCTTGGCCTTCTTCAGCCCCTCAAAATTGCACTTCTTAATTTTTTATGCAATTACAGATTCTACTAAAAACCGGCACTTTTACGTACAGTGAAGTCGACATTTTAATTTTACTTACTGTCTCCTTAGTTTGGTCTAGTTACGGATACATTATCTTGAAGTGTGAAAACACTGACACAACGCCGTCACCCACCCGCTGTGCTTCGAACTAGTTCCATGACCCCATAAGGTGCACTTTGAAACCTCTCTTGACTAATGGTAGGGAACTAAGATATCTGTGCATTTGGTTTTGCTTCTCCACGCCGGCAAATCCCAGCCACAGTGGCGTCCCAAATGCTCCAACACGGAAGCACCAGAGTGCCGGGGGAATATTAAGGTAACCTGCGTTTTTCTTAGTCTAGCTCACGGTATCGGGCGTTCCGGCGATATCACAGCAATCCAACCCAAGGCGCCGGGCTCAAGTCTCATAAACCAGCTTGTGAATTCGCTGCTTTTGGATTGGCTTCGGAGATCTGGTGAGTCATCTTTTTGGCGTGGCACCTCTTTCTCGTATCATTCTAATACCACTACTTTTGCTATGCCAACTGGGAAGGTCTCTTTGGTTTTTCTGCTTCTAGTTTACCAAACTAACATGCCTTTTCCCGTTAAATTTCCCGCCGCTTTACTAATAGCGTTAAAACAACCAGGCTTGGTCTGACCAAAAGCGCTCCCTTTCCCCAAAGCGGCATTCAGGTTTGTACTTTAAGGGTGTCATAATGCAGCCTCGGCTGATGCGTCCCCGTTGTGTAATTGAATTTATTGGCCCGACAAAGCAGCCTTCTTCTTCTCTCCAGAGTAATTCTTGAATACGCACTACTGCCTTTTTGTGGAACTGTAGGCGCGCCAAGCACGGCCTCCTGTTTGCTGGTCCCCATGGCGACCGGAATGACGCTGACGTTTTGCCTGCTGACACTGAAGCGCCGACGCGGCCCCCAGGCCAAGTACGTCGTCTGGCCGCGGATCGACCAGAAGTCCTGCCTGAAGTGCATCGCCACGGCCGGTGAGTCGACGTCCACGCGGTTTGTGTCCCGGCCACTTGTGAACATGGAGGTGCACTGTCGCCTCACCCATGCCGACACGATGGTTACACTTGTGTAGACTCGATATAGGGTAACCTAAAACCACTTTTCCGATACATTCTCTCATCAAGGCATCAATGCAGGTCGACATCAGTGGCCAAGTAACACGCCTAATGAATAACCTGGGTGCTACTGGTCGGTTGCTTGAACACGCGTCAACATGTTAGTGTGTGCTAGCCGTAACGTACCACGTACAACGTCAGCCTTTGCTAGGTTGTTAATTATTGAGTCAATTTTTTTTAAATTCAACTTCAGAATGAGGACAACTGCTGAACCGGTGCCGCTGAAAGGCCCTCTGTGGATTTTGTCATTGATTTTTTGGCATGTTACGGGACACGGCTTAAACGGATTCGTCGTACATGGCGTTTGGCGGTGGAAGTTTAACTTACTGGTCTGGTCCGGAGTACCTGGAGAAGTCCGTGGTGCACGTAGGTGTCTCGGAATGGACGCGTGCGCGAATTTGGTGCTTTCGTAGTGCGGCCGGTCTGATTAAATGCTCGCACTCCAAATTTACCTAGACTGGGATGTCAAAATGTTGTTAACACGGCTACCTGTTGATTCTGGTGTGGTTGCGGCCGGGTAGTCGTGTTGAACGTTGATGCCCTCTGCCAACCTGGCGTGTGGGCCTGCACGTTTGTTTTGTGTGCGTGTGTGTGTGTGTGGCTTCACCTCATAAAGGCAGCGGAATTGTAAGTGAAATGCGCGAAATCGGAACAAACTCTTCCTACCACTATGCCCACGTGTCGTAGCGTGGTCGCAAACTCGTTGGTAGACTAAAAGCGGTGTTTTTTTGGCTACACCAGACTTAGCCGTAGTAGTAGAGCTATTTCACATCACGGCAGTTACTCTAGCAGGCAGCAGCCAACGACAAATTTCGGCATATGTTGTTCTTATTGATTTAACCCTTGCGTGAATCAACTTGCCTCCCATTTTCCGCTACTGTCACCACCCGCAATGTCTTCACTGCACCTTTAAATCAACCCTGTGTGCGTGGCTGTGGATGGCACTGACGCACCATGGAAGCGCACCGTTGCCACACCGCACCACAACTTCAATAGTCCTGCTTCACTCGTGTTCCGATGTGCCTTCTATGCAGTATGCGTTCATAGTGCACAGAAATCTGGTTGGTACAAGCGGGTATCGTTATGGTCTGATTTTCGCCAAAACCCCCCAATATTGATTTACTGTTCTCACGTCAATTTGTGTTCCCATGGCTTTGGGCATGCTCTATCGATTAGCTGCAGTAGACGACTTAGACCTGGACACTTAAACACAACAAGAACCGATCCCTTGTTACTTAATCGATATCCGGGGAACCGCGAATGACGCTCTGCCTAAATCGTTATCTAATCGTCGAGTATACGCCCATGTCGTTAAGGCAGCCCGTTTACCCCAATTTAAAATGAGTGAAACGAAATTTTCGATGGAGGCTAGGGCGGATTCTGACCTTTTTACATCAAAATACATCAAGATGCTCTGCACAGTGGACCACAGTGATTCGTGTTCCGACAAGTTCCACCATGCCGCCGCCTCGTCCCCTGGTTACCTTGTGTCTGCGGTAAACTGATGTGATGCACTCGAACGGTCTTGTCTGCTTATTCCTCCTCACCACTTTCTTGTCATTTTTGCCTAGCTGTTGGTGGGATCAGGGGCTCTTAAATGAACCCACACCACCGAACCTCCTGGGCGCGCGACTTGCCAGTCTATATTTAGCAACTGGAGTTGTTTTAGTCTACAGGAAGTGGAGCACAGCTTCCTTGTAAACAGTCAGTCATCAACTTTTATGAAGTATCTTCCTCTCACATGCCTCATTCTTGATCCTCACGCCACCCACATCGCCGAATGAACGCCCATGTCGCGTTGGGCTGATGTTGGCGTAGGTCTGGCACGCCATCGCGACCCGTTTTGATCATCTGATTTCTTGCGAAATGCCATTTTCTGTAGCACGGGGCATGAGGCCGTAGTTTAGTGGCACTACTTATTCCTCACGTAATCGCTGGAACCCAGAAGAGCAAGGCATTAAGTGTGGCAGGAACGATCGGATTGGATGAGTAGCTGCGGTCGTACAAAACCCTCTCAATGAAATGATTCTCACCGCTGCTTATTCTCCCTCCAGGCCTCATTCCTGTGCCAATCGAGCCAATACAGTCGTCAGGACGACGGCCAAAGCACAAAGGCTCGGGGTCGTCGGTAGCAGGCGACTCGTCTGGTGACTTGCCTGCTGACCAGCTCGCTTCAAACCTGCCAGCGATTGAGGCAGCCATCAAGGACCCCGAGGGCTCGCTGCTTGCGACCCCCGCGACCGACTGCCGGCCTGGCCCCGAGTCAGTTGTCTGCGTCCTCTCCACCACCAGCTGCTTCTCCCCGCGCGTTCCTGACCGGTACGACGCGCCACCTACCTGTCATATATCTTGCCTTTTCTTTTTCACGGTCCAATTTGTGGTTGTCCGACCCTTCGTCTCGTTGCGGTGTGAATTTACACGTGATTTTTCGGCATTTTCGCTGCCTCCAGAAGACATCCACGTAGACACCGAAAATTCTCATTCTATGCCATGTTCTCTCGCGTATCGGTTACTTTAGGTACACACTTGTCGCGCCCGACCTCACTTAGTGTTTGCGCACTCTGCTGGCCAATTGTTTACGCGGCAACTCTAGTCACTAACCGGTGTCCAGTCGTACTTAGAAAGGACTTAATCCATCTTAACACGTGGATGCCATCTCATGGATGTTCTCATCTGTCTCCCTAGAATACTCGCTATAAGCAGCCTCTGCGAAGCCCACAACGTGCCCCATTTAATCAATAACGCCTACGGTGTCCAGTCGAAGCGGTGTATGGGCATGATCGAGGCGTCGTGGGGCGAGGTGAAGAGACGGCGGCAGTCGACGCAGCGTCCACTCGACCTGCTCTACGTACAGTCGACGGACAAGAATCTCATGGTGCCGGTTGGTGGATCCATCATCGCGGGGTTTTCAACGGAACTCCTCAGGGACATTGCCGAGTCCTACCCAGGTGGGTTCGTGTTCTACGGCCTTCGATTTTAAATAGGCCCGTAGGCAAGGCGCCAATGTGTGGCCCCATCAATGTCTTGCGAGCTCTTCCTGTTAGCGTCTCCACCGTTTTTGCCGTGATTACTGATCGTTCCTCTCCAAACTCCAACGGTCAACTACGCAAAACAGAAAGCTGCTAAACAGTAGGTGCAAATAGCATCAGCATAAGCAATTGTGCATTTGCGACAATAAGTAGAATAAATAGTAAGTGTATGCAACTGTGGCGACGTCTGAGGGCGCAGACATGTTGGACCATCCTGGCCTCAGCCAATCCTATGTCTCTCTGTGTTTTAATGACATACGAGGAAGATAGGCAGCCAACCAGAGAAAGACACGAATGAGGAGCAGTATATAATGAGCGGCGTAGCCAGGTTGGTGGACTCGGATGGACGGCGCCTGACGTGTGGTTCTGGCTTGTGATTGGTCGATAAAGCCCGTTCTGTTGTACCAGTCTTCTTCATACTAGGGCTCGGGTATTCTACACAACAAATAGAGTCCTTACCAATATCGGCCATATTGAATAGTGTTCCAGCAAAAGCGGTATAGTAAAACAAATGGTTATACGATGATAAGTTGACAAATTTCACAGTAGGAGTGAGAGTGTTATTAGGTTATTCAATGGAAAGAAGGCGAAATTGTCCGCTTGATAGCGCCCTGAAACCAACTTTCCGCTGTTACCAGAACGAAATTGATGGAATTCCACTTATCGTGCCAAGATATGTCACCTTTTAACGGAAATTAGCCTTTGACGAATCAATCCGATCTTATATTGATCCCTAGGGGACGATTTTAGTGGAACCATTAATGTGCTCTTTGATACCGGTTCCATTTTCCAACGTGTTAGTCTGTTGCGTCCGCTGTGTCAGGCGTTTTCGCCCCACAAAACTTGGAGTTGTTGTGGACACCTAGACGTTTGAATCGCGCACACTATTCTGAATGGATTAGTCGCGTTCTGCTTTGAACCGACATTGGTCAATTGTCGTCTTGTAGGCCGTGCCTCGGGCACACCATCGCTGGACGTCTTTGCCACCCTCTTGTACCTGGGTCGAGGAGGCTGGGACAGCCTCGTTTCGAAGCGCGAGGTCTGCTACCTCCGGCTGGCCGAGGGTCTTCGAGGCATCGCCGCGAAGCACCGTCTCAGACTCATGCACACTCCGGACAACCCCATCTCACTGGCTCTGTCGTTGCAAGGCCTCGGCGATGACCACGACCCCGACGCCCTAACCCTTCTCGGCGCCAAACTCTTCACACAGGGCTGCTCTGGTGTCCGGTAATTACCGTTTCTTCGGCTAACTTTGTACCCCCAGCCTGGCCATGCAGTACTTTTACAAATTCAGTAATCAC